TTTTTTACCCTTCAATGTCATGCGTACTTCGCTAATTGATTTTCTAATACCGGCCATTTTCTCTTCATGTTCTTGGTTCATTTCTAAACAGTAGCCAACAAATAACTATACTATTCTCTACAGAAGTGTATTCAATGTCTTACTTTGGTCAAACTCTGATGTCAGCATGATATTTTGAAGATGTTCAACATCATCATTCATACGCTTAACGATCTTATCTACACTAGCATGAAGTGCATTGATCTGTTCGAACAAATTAAACAACATATGAGTAAAAATATTTCACTAAAATACTTAGCACATAGAAGGAAAGTAAATTTTAAGTTGAACTTTTTGTTTTCCTACCTTTTTCATATACTATGTCTACAGATATTGCTTCTTTGGACAGAATCTTGTATGAATATAGAGCTTTTGTTTCTTTTACAGACAACTCGTATCTTAGGCTCGTTCATATTCTAACAAGAATTTAGTATTTCACAAAAAATAAATGTTTCGACAAAGTTTATGTGTAAAATTAAAATACTTTGAATGCATTCGGAAAACAAGCTTTTACTCGTAAAGTAAATCGATTATCTTGACTTTCACTATTTTACTTCCTCTTTCTCTCTTGCTCGTTTTTCTGTTCTCATTCTTTCTTTGTAATACTAAGGAAACATAGATTTAAAACTGAAATCATTTGACTTTTGTAATGCACATAGTAATTATTTCTGACGTGTGTTCCACGTTATTTTTAAATTGTGACGTATAATCTACTTCTGATGGTGATTCTAACAGTTGAAATCAAGATTGTACAATGTTATACGAATGATTCTGTAGATATTTTCACGTATATTTTTTTTTTGAATGCGTGACTCTAGAGCTTGTTGCTATTTCCTGAATAATTGATCATTCCATTAGTAGAAGTCAAGTCTAATATTTCTAACGATATTACAAATCTAGATCCCACTAAAAACCACCTACATTATAAATATGATATCATTAGATATAATTCACAATAGAATAATATGTCGAAGTATTAAACTTTGTTATCCCATCGACTTATGCGATGTTCACTCACTTGAGAGAATAAGTCCACCATGGATGCTCTTTCCATGTCAATAACGGAACCAGCATTAATCGTATTGGGTTCTTCATCATCTCCACAGTTTTGAGCCTGAAGAAAGATGATATTAAAGTTCATTATAGTGATCAAATATATGTGAATTATCATCTGTTGTTTCAAAAACGTGATGAATATTAAAAATGAAAAGCATCTGTCTGTTAAATAACATTCAGGATTAGTCTACCTTGTTCTTCTGCTTTTTTCAATAAAGATAATGTTTAAGATTGCCGCCTTTAAAATTCTACTAGATGTCTGTTTTATCATGGCAAGGAGAGAGAGACGAAAATCAAACTCACCTCTTTCTGTAGTCGCAATAATCTATCTTGAATCATGTCGTTATTGAAAATTTGCTATATTCATAAAATTTCGATGATTTGTGTCTTGTTATGCTATTAAAAGAAAAAATCAGTGATTTTTTTATTTTCGTTGTTCATTTTCTTTGTCTTCTCGTTTCATTTGTTTTTTGAGTGAGACACTATGTACACTTGAGTTAAGTCTTTTAATTACTCTGAATCATTAAGTCAATACATGATGGTTTTCATGTTAAATATTTATTTTCTAACAAACTGATATTCTATTTGTAAGACTGTGTATGGTTGTCGAAAATTGATTTCTCACTCTGTTTCAGTAGAAATGACGTAATAATTCAATTTGTTTGAAAGTATTTCCCCCTTTTTTTAATATATGATTGCAAAAATTATTAATCCAACCCTCGGCAAAATTTTTAAGTAAGGTTTTCTCAAGTTTATCCACATAGAAGTATGACGAAAAGTCTAACCGTCAAGTAAACGTCGGAGACTTCTATATGATCAAGTTGCAGCAACAAATCAATTTCACTCTCTCTGTTTGAAATACATACGAAGTGTACAAAATGTTATCTTTCGAACTTTAAGTTTTGATTTATTGGTGTTCAACTTTTTCGTAAGATTTGCATTCGAAATATAATCTACTGTTATATTATATCAATATGTTTCAATTTTTCTTGCTGTCAATAAAGAAAAGTTTATTTTTGCAGCCGATATCTCGAGTGGTAACGTTGTATGTAATTCCCTTTCTGATTATAAGAAATTATCTTTCTCGTACCGATGGACTTTTTGAATTTTGTTATTTTTTTTGCTTACTTATATATTCTCAGAGTTTCTCTAACGACAAAGAAATTGGCAACCTTACCTCATGGCTTCTTTACCTCCGGCTTCTTGTGATCTCGAGACACGTCTGAATATCTTAAATCTATCGAACTCATTTACCAAAAAAAAATACCTAGGCGCACATTGTGTGTTTTAAATTCGGCAGTGAAAGGTATATTTTTTTAAAGAAATCCTACTCATTACGATCTACTACTCTTACCTAGAATAAAATGATGCTGTTTATTTAGAACTTGCCGTCTACAATCTGCTGTAAAAAAATTCTTCATTCTGTTATTTTTTTTTGCTAACGAAAACATATTTATTTACTTGCAGCAAGCGGACGGCTAATAAATAGGTCTTCCAACAACGTACACTTCCATGGGGCGAATGTCATCACATGAAGAAAGAAACGAAAAATACTCAAAACTTGATTCTTATGAAATTTGTTATGCGCATTTCATCTTACCGAGTAAAGTAAAACGAACGATGAGAAATATACATCAATGGACACGTACATCTATACCATATATGGCAAAAGCATTGTTCTCATTCTTTGTCTTGCTTGATGTTAAGCAATAAACAAAGCTGATCATGTGGTTCTTACTTGACTGTTTGTGACGATGGATGTATTCTCAGGCAGCGTTTGCTCAATATAGCATGTACTTGCTGACTGATTTTCATTCATATGTGTGCATGTCGAAGAGGTTATGCTTGATCGATGGATGGATTTCCTCTTTAGCTGCTCTCTCACTTGCCTACGCTTTATTAGGAACAATGTCAGCCGACAGTATGGTTGACTTATCCTTGATTTAAGCCCATACTCCGATCGCCGTCTTTTTTTTATTTCTGTGATAATTATTATGGTGTATCTGTCCAAGGTATAGATAGTTTCAAAACTTGAATCGTTCCATCTTCGCAATGTATTATTAATGAGATATTGATATATGAATCACCAATATCCTAGTAGAACATCTGACTACCAAAGTAAAATAACACCACACACCAACTTATAGGGAGAAAAGTCGCTGATTACTACATCTAATCGGTGACGGAAATGAGGCATCGTAAAGAAAATACTGTTGCTCGTTGCGACACATAGTGTCGAATAAGAGCTGCCATAGGAATTTTCCATTCGATGATTTTTTAACCAGTTTTAAACAAAAAATTCTCATAGCTCTGTTCTTTGTTCAGATATGATTGCAAATAATAAACATGTCAACAGTTCAATTCATGTATTCAGTAGTGGCATTTTGAGAATGGCAACGGCTAAAAATATCAACTAACATTTTTTTTTAGGTGAATATCGTAATGTCATTAAATTTCTCATTATTAATGCGTCAATCTATGGATTACTAGTCATATCAACTCGCTCAAGCATTCTAAAACTGAGAGTTTATTGTGTTTTTTGGTTCATTGTTGAGTTAAAGCGTTGAACAACAATAAGTCGAACACGCTTTATAGAGCTTTGCTGAAATTTATCATAAGAAAAATGTTTGACGAGAAAGGTGAAATGAAATAGGAGACCTTTCACTGGGGACAGATATTATGTAAATACGGCAAAACTATAGATGTTACAGGTAGCAATAGTTTTTTAATTTCACACTCGAAATATTCATAATTAGCTAATGGAACAAATAATGTATCTAAAGAATTATTTTCTAGAGTGAAGTTTGTTTCACAAAATTTGCTATTTACTTTTGCATGACAGATTGCAAAACTTTTGTATTTTTAAAAGTAGTTTTTGACACAACGATTATCTGATTAATGTTGATTTCCAAAACAGTTCAGTTGAAGTTATTCTAAGACACAAGCTAAGGAGTACGCCAAAGCCGTTATTTTCTTTGGTACAGATGCAGTTTTGAAATTTTTTCACAAAACTTTATGGTAGTTTTTCGATCTAGTCTCAGAAGAAAAAGCTGAACATGTATTCGAAAATATCAAAAAACTCGAATTTTAATTCTAAACAGTTGTCATTTAGTTACAGAAAAAAATGAGCGAATATTATGTGCCAAAACTTTCACATCACAGATTAGATCTGTCTTAAACTCAGTAGGATCCGATAAACTCTAATTTCCAGTTGATTCACCTTTCTATGGCAGAAAAAGAAATAAAAATAAACAGGCAATGTCGTTTCCAGGTGAATAGGATTGGGGCAACTCGTTTTTTGTAGGAGAAGCCGGATCATAGTAAGTTTTATTCTCCCGGTTACCACTTCTAGCAATTCGAGAATGGAAGCACTTTATGCGAGAATTTTTAGCCCTTCCCACTCTTAAAAAAATATTGACAATTCTGTACTAGACACAAAAAACACTTGAAGTTATTTTTCCATTAACTAATTTAAATTAAATATCTGTATTAAAATTTCGATTTTCATAATTTAGCATAGCTATAAACGATAATGATCAATACAAATAGACCGACACGTCTGTGCTGAGAGTAACACAATACTAACGATAATTCGCGCCCTCTATCCTTTCTCTTTTTCAATTAGCTACCGTTACAAAGTTATCATGCCTGCAACAACTGATAGATGAAAGAAAAGAAAAAAACAACAAATCAAACATTTATGCAAAATGCACTATATACGACTATGTAAAGTAATTAGCAAATTGTATTTAAAACGATCAAATTTACAAAAAAAAACACTTCTATTAATTCTACTTACCTTTATTCAAATAAAATTGAACATAGATTGAAAATAAATATGATCTTTTTTTTTGTAGATTTGTTTTGATTTTTGTTTTTTTTTGTTGTAAATAAATATTTCTCTCATGATAATCGACGATGAAGCAGCCTTACGTGACTGGCTCGTTACAACACTCGAACCATTGTAAGTTTTGATTTTTGTTTAAAATCATTTTCAATCATTAGAGATGTTTTTGTTTCTTCTATGTTTTAGATGTGATGCTGAACCCATAGCTCTTGCTCGTTATGTTCTTGCACTTATTGCTAAAGATAAACCATTAGATAAACTTCGTGAAAATTGTATTGATCGTCTTGAAGTTTTTCTTGATCGAGCAACAAAAGATTTTGTTGATCAATTATTTGATGTTATACGAAATCGACGATATATACCTGAAGGAAAAAAAGTAAGAAGAGTTCAAAGATTAAAATTTTATTGCATAAATTAAATAGGAAAATGTACAACCGAAGCCAAGTGAAACAAACACTGAAACATCTGGAATACAACAACAGCAACAAAATGTTGCATTGCCAACAAAACAAGAAGATATACAACAAACAGAAATAACTCCAATATCAACAACATCTTCATCTACAGCAATCAATCAACCAATAAAAAGGTACAATTTTCGAATAATAAAATTTTTTTTTTTTTATTATCTTTTCTTTAGACGATATTCTTCTCGTTCTCATTCGAATAATAATAATGAAAGTCATAAACGTCAATCGACAGATTCACCATTAGCTAAACGTACTCAACGTTCTTATTCTCATTCATCAACTGATTCTTCACCTCCATCATCTCCTAAAAATCCGAATTTTTTATCGAATAAAATTCCATGTAAAGATTTTTTTGATAATAAAGGTTATTGTGCTCTTGGAGATTCATGTCCATATGATCATGGATCAAATGTTTTATCTTTTGAACAACAAAATTATTATCCATCATATCAACAATATGATATATCATCAACAAATCCTCATCAACAATATAATCCTGAAATACCTGATTTAAAATATGATTTACGTCAAACATCATCTATGCTTAATAGACAACCATTACCTATTGGTCAACGAACACTTGTTACTGTTGTAACTAATGCAGAACCATTAACATCAGAACAAAGATTACGACCAAATAATTCAAGTAAATTTAATGAATTCAGAAGAAAAATTTTGTTTTTTAATAATTTTTATAGATGGTCCTATGCATCGTACCAAACGACATGTTACTACTGCACCATATCCAATGGATAGACGAACACAACAATATGATCAACAATCAAATAAAAATCATCAAGATACTAATCAGAATCGAGCTCGAAAACGTCCATGTATGTTGTATTGCTATACTTAGGACGTATCATTAAAAGTAGTAGACGAGGTATTTTGATACCTCATTTAAAAAAAAATTTAAAGAAAAGTTCTCTCAATATGATCTGATAGTAAAAACAATGCTCTGTATTCGTGTGATATTTGATCATTATTCAACTAATATCATGATAGTAAAATTTCGATAAGAAACTGTTTGTTATAATATGTGACGGTAATATTAGATCATCTTTTGTCTACGATATGTACCTTTATCTGGATGTTCTCTTTTCTTTCGTCTCCTCTAATTCCTAGCCATCGATACATATTAAAATATACAGAAGTGATGATTGTAGAATAAAAAAGAAAATTAGAAAGAATCATCCTAGTTATTAATACTTAATTGTATTCGTTGAATTCATACACTTATTTACAGTACAATGCAACAATTTAGAACTGCTCATGTTTTCTTTTTTGATTAAATCAAATAATCAAAAACCATATCGTGGCAAATCTAAAGCATTACTAATGTACAAATTTAATCATGAAAAAATATTTAATTAGGCAAGAAGTAACCGAACATATGTATACTTATAGCATGTATTTAACAAATAAGTATGGAAGATGATAATAAAGCAAATGATTTTGCAGAAGGAATTGAATGTGTTAAAGATTAAATCCTCTCTTAGAGCTATTCAGCATTTGCTGAAATGGTTTTTACTCTTAGACCATAGAGCAAGGAAATTTCATTAAGCTTTTTATAAGAAATTAAAATACTTGTATCTACTACTTTTCGTATGTTCTCAACCATATAAATACTCTTATTTCAATGGTTTAGGGTCAAAACCTGATGGATCTGGATCGACATCAACAACACTTGAAATACGTAAAATTCCCGCTGAATTTAATACAATATCAAAATTAAATGAACATTTTAGTAAATTTGGTACTGTTACTAATGTTCAGGTAATTATCGAATAGTTATAACTTATTCTAACATTTCATTTTATCTCTGTATAGAAATAAGATAGACTTTTCATTGTATTGTATCAGTTCTGAATGAAACAGAATAGGACTTTTTTGTTATTGTCCATAAAATCTATCACAATTAAATAAACATAACTTTGTTTATACATTTAGATTGCTTTTGATGGTTCTTCTGACTCAGCACTTGTTGCTTATGCAACATTTAAAGAAGCTGAAACCGCATATAAAAATCCTGAACCATTGTTTAATAATCGTTTTATCAAAATATTCTGGCATAATTCTAATAAAGTAAATATTTTTCATCTTTTGTTCTCATACAAAAAAAGAAAACATTCTAAACCTTCAGGGACAAAACCCATCAAACACTACTAATCCTAATCCAACATCATCGGATGCAACATCAATAAAAAAACAACGAACTACTCCAAATTCAACAAAACATCATTGGACTAAAATACAAAAATCATCATCAAATAAAAATGAAGTAAAATTTATTTTTCTTTTATCAAAACAATATTATTTATTTATTTTTAGATACCACCAAAAAAAAAATCAACAATACCACCTGTTCCATCTGTAATTAAAAAAGAAGCAGCAAAAAAAGCTGCAATAGAAATTCGTCGTAAAAAACAAGGTTTATTAGAAGAACAAATTCAACAACAAAAATTATTATTAAAAAAACTTGAAACAGCTGAAACAAATGAAGATAAAGAATCAATTCGATCATTAATGAAACAAGTTGATTCAACTATTGTTACGCTGAAAGATTCAATTCGTACAATACCAATTAAATCATCGTTATCAACAACAAAAATAAGTCAACAAGATCTACTTAAAAAACGTGCAGAAACATTAAAAAAACAAATTGAAAGTCTTAGAGCTAAAACATCAGCAGATATGGTTAGATTCTTGTTTTATTTATTAATATTATAATTACTCTGAAATGCTTTTTTTCTTTTAGCGTCGTGCGATAAGTAATACAATAGAAAATGAAATTTCGAATTCAAATCGAACTCATAATATTGATGAAGATGATGAAGTAAATCTTCTTAATGAAGAAGATCAATTGTTAACTGATAATGAAAAAACAAAAGATCAATCGTATAAATTCGATACACACGATGAAGTACAACTACTTGATTCTTAATACAATCATTTTCTTTTTCTGAATATAATTAAAAACTTTAAAAAAGCAAAAACAATATTATGTGTGTGTGAAATTACTTTTTACTTTTTGGATGTGTGTTTTGTTTTGTTTTTCTTCTGTTTATTTTCCGTCTCTAGTTTCATTTGACTCTATGTTGTCAGAAACATATTTAACAAAAGAACTATATTATACAAAATAAAAATAAATCTAGAGATATATTTGATTCAACAATGAATATATATATACATATTTGTTTATTTATCGATTTTACATTATTTTAATAAGATAAAACAAAATAAATTTAGTTATATGTAAAAAAATTTTTCACATAATAATACTTATTGGTATGAATGAATAAATCATATGCTGCCAATTAGACTTGTTGATAAATGGGAGTAGATGTTGCCTTCTATAACGTTCTCTGACCTAAATAAAAGAAAACTTGCTTTTATTTAATCGAATCGATTAAATTATTTGTTGAGTAATTTTGTTGTCAGATCAGCATTGCTACATAGATTACACATTTTTCAATTCTAAAGAAGTAGCATCTAGATCAGAATGTATTTGATGGCTTGAATATTTTTTTCTTGGAGCAAGATATTTGTGCGATTTTGTAAGATTTTTCTTTCTCAATCATTGTAAAAATGATGATTAATCGCGATTCATCGACGATTTCATCACAACAAAAATAGCTAAATGATTAAGTAACGCAATTTACTTGATATATTTTTTATTTTCAAATATTCGCGTAAACATTTTCAAAAAATAGCGGGGGTCGTTGGTAGGACTAAGGAATCACGAAAAAATCATCGATTTTCGCTGCATGAGTAACAATCGAGCAGATGCATAATATTTTTTTGATAAATATATGTCGCTATGTATGACTGATCAAAAATTCTCATAGCATAAAATAAACATAAAGGGATAATTTTACTTTTATTTCATTAAATATTCAAAAGAGTCACCGTGATTATTTTTACACAATTTTCTTCATTCTAACGATTTGTCAATTGTTTGTTTTTTTCACTCTTTGTCTGGAATATTTTGAGGTATCTTGGAAACTACAGTATGTGTCAGTCTTTGTGACCTCGTCACTAGGATTGTGTGTGACAGTGTTGCGAGCAATGTTCATTGTAGCATGCCTTGAATTTCCTCAAATTTCAAGTCAATAGTTGTTGAATTTCCAATTTCTCAATGATAGGTAATTTTGTTACTTTCAGAAAAAAAGAACATTAAACAAAAATAGAAATATATTTCAAACATCGAAGTAGCTTCATTATACTTTTATCATCGACAAAAAATTCAAATCTAAAAACGACGTATACACAATAGAAGGTGATTCACTCATCGATCACCCCCTCCCTCCATATTTGTCCTTCTGTGCTTTTATTACCATAAGTTGTTTATTTTTTTATCATATTTTCAATAGTGAGAATGGTCGAAATACTCGATGTTTCATGGTATATTCTTCATGAACGATGAAAAAAATCTAAAACATAAAAGTTATACTAGTGTGTATTTTTTTTTCTTATCTGTTTATTTATCATTATTCAAATACTTGTCATAAAGACATGCGTGTATTTCATCTGAATAAAAAATAAATTCATAAGATTGTTCTGCAAACATATTCTCATGTCAGATCGATTTATTGTTCAAACTTTATAATTCTATGATTCACATATACAAGGACCTTGTAGAAAAAGAAGTCACATTATTTTTGTTTGTCGATACAAATTTTATACTTTGAATCTTATCCAAGGTGAATATATTACAAGATGCAGTTCATTGTATAATTTTCCACTATCAATGATATGTTTATAAACAAACAAAGTATAATAATGAAAGCATTCAAAAAAAAACCGAGGACTCAATGTGATTGGCCTTCATTGTAAAATACAAACAGCAAGTCATGCGCATCAATTACTCATATATCAAGGATCATAACAAAAAGTGAATGTACATAGTGACAAGAAAAATTTTTTTTTTTAGTTTTATTTTTTTAATTTTATTTATCACCATAAAAAGTGATGAGAAAACAACATATATATGTGATAGAAAATCTTCATGTGGATGTTCATCAGATTTAGCAGTTCTTGCACGTATATTTGGTGGTGAAGCAGTTTCAAGAAATTCATGGGGTTGGATTGTAGGTTTATATCGTTCAAATAATTATTATTGTGCTGGTTCATTAATTTCATCGACTTTAATTCTAACTGCTGCACATTGTATAACATCTGAATTATCAAAATTAGCAAAAATTACTGTAATTGCTGGAAGTAATAGACTTTCAAATCGTGATGGTCAAGGACAAATACGTCGTATTTATGAAGTTTTTATTCATCCAGATTTTGACAAAAATTCAAAAGTTAATGATATTGGCATTATTCGTTTATCGACACCATTTGATATGACAAATTCAAAATTAACTATCGTATGTTTACCTCATGCAGTTACAGCTGAATCAATTGCTGAAGTAGAATATCCAGTACCAGGTACTACTCTTGTTGTCATTGGATGGGGTGCGACTGAATATAGTCCAATGAATCCATCAACAACTCTACAACAAGTTACAGTCAAAGCAGTAGCAAGTACATCAAGCGATTGTACGACTTCTACCAATGAAATGGTCAATGTTACTGTACATTTTTGTGCTGGAATATCAGGCGGTGGAAAAGGTAAATAAAAAACTGGATTATCAAGGAGATAAAAAAAAATTTATTGTGTCACTTTGTTTTTTAGATGCATGCCTAGGTGATAGTGGAGGTCCAATAATGGCTTTTGTTGATAATCGTTGGCAAATTATGGGTATAACATCAATTGGTTATGGATGTGCTTTACCAGGTCACTCCGGCATTTATACACGTATTGCTTATTATATTCCATTTATTGAAAAAATTAAAGATCAAAATCAAACAATTTATGCATCAATAATTGCAAGCATAACTAATGGTTATAATAGAATGCAAACGACGATGATAGAAAATATTATTTTTATTATTTTATTATTAATTATTAACATGTTTCATATATTATAAAAAAATAATTTTAGAACAATTATTTTTATTTCTTAAACTTTTGAATACAAATAAACAAATATTTTAAAGATGGTTTTTATATATTAGTAGACATAGAGAATTCCTCAATATAATGAAACTGGAAGGATTTATTTTAAAGGAATCAAAATTTGTTAGATGTGCAGAGCTCAATGATAAGTATGTTGTTTGTAGAAAGATTTTGTCAATGAAAAGATTATCGAAAAACCTTCATCGACAATGACTATCATTTATTAATAGCTTATTAAGAAAAAAAAGGATTTAGTGACATAATGCTTTTATTTCTACAATACAAGATAAACCATATAATGAAAAATATCATTTCATTAATTTATTGAGAGAGACAAATGAGCAAATACAAATGTACAATCAGATATAAAATAAGAAATGAATAAAGACACAATAAAATCCAATCATGCTATTATTGTTTTTCTTTGTCAAAAAAAAGAAAAGTGAAAAAAGCCTTCAAGGTGTCATATGAGTGTACTTTCTATTTTTTTCCTTCGTTTTCACTCATTGATCAAATCAATTTACGAATCACTCTTAACAAACTCGACAAGTCTTCCTTTTTTCTTCTTCTTTGCTTATGTTAAAATGTTTATCTTTCGACGAAACATGTTTTAATAATAATCATCATAGTATTCAAATTTACAAAAATTATTTCTCATAAAATTAATAAACAGAATTTAATACTAAATTGCAATTCCTTTAAAAAATAACTTTAATCTCTTACAAAACATCGGACATTATTAATTAATAAGAAATTTCACGGACAAGTATATCGAATAATAAATATTATGAATCTATATAAGTATAAGTCCATGGATGAAAGTCTATGATGAGAAAAAAAAAAAAAAGAAATCCAATGGAAAATAAAGACACGTGGACACAATCATTTATTTTCTACGTAATTGAAGTTTGTATCGATACGGTTCAATGACCAGCCTTGCAGCTCAGACTCTATTGTATATAGTAAACAACGATGATAAAAAAAAAACATTCATAACGCTTTATTTGTGATTGAATAGAGAGAAAAAAAAAATCAGAATATAAAAATCAATTTCATTTATTTGCTGTTAATAACGAATATGCTACCTCGAAGAAATGAAAGCGAACATGTTAATAATCATGAAGAAACTGTGGACCAATCTAAATCTATCCAAAATAATTATAATGATAATACGGGAAAAGAATCATCTCATATAGTTGTCGATGAAAATGACTTAGATGGAAATCAACGATTAGTTGTTATTAAGGAATCTCAACCATTGTAAGTTCATTTAATTATTTTAACATAAAAGTAATAAAATAAATTGGTTGTTTTATTTTCATATTTTTCTTATTTCATAAATGATTATATCAAATACGAACATTGAATTCACCTTCGTTTACATTCTCATACCTTTACATAACTATATTTGAAGGTTATTAACAATGATCATCATTTCAAATCTATCTAGTATAGAAATTTTTTAAAGTAAACTACTAATAAATATGTTGATAAATTCGTTAGTTTTCATTGTCCTGACTCATGATTCATATCAAAAAGATCAATATTACATAAAAAAATACATAAAACTCTTTCTTAAATAGCACTACACAAACCATAATTAAATATTTATACAAGATTAAAATACAGCGAATTGAATATCTGCTACATACGATCGGTCTAAGAATCTAGGAGTAGATATATGAATAACTTGTTCTAGATCTTAGTATATATTAAAATTTTTTATCGCGATATTATCATGATTATTTAGATTCAGATGTAGTTTACTTTATTTGGGTACAGCTATTCCATCATCAAATACATCTGGTATTGATTCTATACAAGAACCATTATCAAGACGATATCCAATCGATGGAAAAGAACACGTGCAAGGTAAGAAATGTTAATATCTTTCATAAATTGAAGCCTAATAACGAAAATGAACAATTAATTCTGACGAAGTCATATGAAATCAACTGAACGTAAGTTTAAATTAACCATTTATATGTTCAGAATATTATCAAGAATAGATCTTCTATTAATTGAGAGTAATAAGAAAGATTGAGTTGGTCCTTCCAGAGTTAAGATTATTCACTTGCACAGGCTCATTCCATGACTAGTGATACTAAAGTTTGAACACAGTGCATGAAGAATAAAGCAATATTTTTATGATTGGCAATAGTAATAAGTTTCTTCTGTTTTGGATTATGTCGATTATTCATTCGTCATCTTGTATTTCTACTGAATAGGTATTGAAGCATGGTTATCTGTTGATGAAAATGGTTTACAAATACAATTTGTTTCTGATCCATCGTTTATGCTTTATTACCCAATTCGTTCTCTTGTCTATTGTGCTAGTGTACGTTTTGCAACAAGAACTGCAACAGGTGATAAATTTCAAAATGGTTGGTCTTTTGTTCCATTAGACTCTCCAGAAGCTCATCATATAGAAAATATACGAAATCCACCATTATTTACTGTTACTCTTCAACGAACACGTCATTTACCTATGGATGAATGTCATTGTTTTGTTTTAAAATCTGAGCAAGAGACATTAGATCTTGTTCGAACTTGTTATAATGCATATGAAGCAACTGATCCACAACAAGATTGTTCAAAAGTTCCACTTTATTTTAAAGTAATAATACAAAAACAAAAGAAATAAAAATTTCTATCTTTTGCTATTATTTAGATCAATGAGGATGGATCAAGTATTCAAGAAACTGATGATGAAATATATATTGTACCAGCATTGTATGAAGAAAAAACAATAGATTATCAAACAAATAATAAATCTTCTGGTTTTTTCTATACAACAGAACGAGTATCGTTTAGTTCTTGGCAATTACGAAAACATCTTAAACTTGATAATGATCGACCAGCAAGTCGTCAGTCTTCAAGATCAGTATCATCTGTTTCATCACATCGTAATACTCGTCAACATCGTCGTACACCTAAACAATCAAATCCTGACATTCAATTAGTTTTATCTGAATTTCAATCTAAGCCAACAAATAATTCTACTCAAGAATCATTAGAACCGGCAGGAATTGATCCATATGCTTATGACCCTAATGTTGTTCGTGTTGAACGTATCAAAGATGTTAATACAGGTCGAGATATTTTTATTCGGGTTCTTCGTAATAGATCGGAAACTCCAAAACAATCATCATTAAATAAAAAACCTGCTAACGACTTTCATATAGGTTTAAATAATGATTATAAATCAGAAGAAGAAATATCTAATGATATGAAACATTTAGTAATAGATGATGATCATTCAAAGAAATCAGTCACAACTGATGATGAACATGTTACAAAACCTACCACAAATGATGAAGAACATTTTAGAAAATCGAGCATAAGTGATTACGAACATGATGAAACACCGACCACATTTGAGGATGAGCCTTTTAAAAAATGGAATATAAGTGATTTTAGACATTCTGAACAGCCAGTTACAACTGATGATGAACATGTTAAAAAATCTACCACAATACATGACAAACATTCTACAAAATCCAGTATAGTTGATTATGGACAGTATGAAAGATCGGCCACAATTGAAGAAGAACATGTTGAAAAACCTATTACAATTCATGGCAAACATCATAAAAAAACGGCAAGGTTTCATCATGAACATCTTAAAGAATCGGACATATATGATTATAGACCTTTTGAAAACCTGACCACAGTTGATGATAAATCACAATTTATAATAATCGATCATAAACAAAAAAAATCGAAGAAAAAACATAAAAAACACAAAAAACACAAACATCACAATTATGAAGTCCTTGATGAACATTTTAAACGTCATCATAAAGAAAAACACTCGAATAGAAGTCATAAAAAACATCGACATAAACATCGCGAAGTTATTGATTTATCTATAACTCCATTAATACAAGAACAACTTCCTATACGATCTATTAGTACGATATATTCATATGAAATAACATATCCATATGAGAGATCATATTCTTATAAGACAACACATCCATATGAGCGAACATATTCATATGAGAGATCATATTCATATAAGACACCACTTCCATATGAATTAAGATCTTCATATGAGTCGAGAGCTCCATATGAGTCGAGATCTCCATATGAGTCGAGATCTCCATATGAG